TTACAAAACAAAGTTTATGGTTTTGTAACTTTCAAAGCAACGGATAATGATAATTTGACCAAACTAATTCAAAACCATTAATAGCTAATTATAGATGATTTGGTATGAATGCTAATAAAAAGTTAGTTATCATATTATAATAATGGCTATTAATCATGGGTAGTAAATGACAACGAATATGTTATATTTTATTTTTGAGATATAAGAATTATCTTCTAACAATTCCATGGCTAATAAACAACTAAAAAAAACATATTAATTACTACGAGTACTTTTTTTCATTGAACTAGTACTACTGCTATATATCATGAGGAAAAAAAAAGGAAGTAGTGCTGCTACAATAACATCTTTTCACCACTCTGCAAATTTACATTCTACTCTCTTTGACAGATTTTATGTATACAATATATATTAAATAGATATTTCAGAGCCGACATTTTCAATTCAAAACTCACATCGTTTAGTTAAATTCTGAATTTGTTTAGATGTGGTTCTGAGGAAGCTGAAACCGGACTTGAGACGCCGGGGAACTGACGGCGACGCCGTGCCAACAGATGCCACCTCGACAAAATTCATGACCATGTTGATAAACCTGAGGATGATCATCACGAGTCATAGCATTTCTAGCCTTGAGAGATATATCCCACGTTAGACTTGCAATCAAGACCACAACAACTGCAGCTGTCGAAAAAATTAGCACAAAACAACCACTGAAGTTTCGACCGGTCATTAACCCGTAGGCTTTCATTGCACCTATCATTGCTAGGTACAACGTTGTTAAATTTCCTGTTACTTTGTCTGAAATTGCCATTTTCTCTGTCAAATGGATTGAAGAGTTTGGGGGGTCTTTGTGTTTGGAGTGTGAATTTAGGAAAATGGAAGTGAGGGGTGTCGGTGGCAACTGGCACGGATGTCAGATGATTCTACCTTTAGCTTTATCACATTTACTGTACTCTCTACCTTTCATTTTGCTGGTGTTTGGAGGGAAAATTACCCAAAATGTCCTTCAAATTAGCAAAAAAAGTCCTAGTTATAGATATTGGCATAAGGTAGCCACTAAATGTATATATGTGTATATCAAAATATATATTATAACTTTATCTTCTTTATGTATATCAAAATTTTATTTTCCTTCTTGGTATATCTAAAATATGAAATTATAAATATAGTTGTCTATAATTTATTGTTGTCTCTATATCCAAGTAAATAATATAAAAATAATTATATTATTTGTATATCACATTGTATAACACATCAAATAATGTGTATGCCGAAATGTATATCACATCTTCTTTTTCTTTTTTTATGTATATCAAAAAAAAAAAATCTTTCTTTGTATATTAATATGTATATCAAAAATTTATTTTTCTTCTCTGTATATTTCGGTGTATAAATATAATTTCTAGTGGATATACAAAAAGATATATATATATATATATATGTGTGTGTGTGTGTGTGTGTGTGTGTGCAGGACGAGAATTGGAACTAATTTTTTAATTTTTTTAAAAAAAAAGGTGGGAAGAAAAATGAATGAAGTTTCTAAAACTGAACGAAGTTCTGGCCACCAAAATCCTAGAAAGATATCATTTATTTTTCTTGACCAACGCAAACCCATATGCTAGTGAAAAATTCATAAGAGATCTGAGAATTGTACAGATTATTCTTGCTAATGTCGTTTTGTCAAGTCCGGGAACACCCACAATCGGGGCAACATCAAGAACCACTAATCCTTCAACAAGTCGGCTTGATCACCTTTTGTGCTTCTTCATCAAAGCCGGTTATGTCGTCACCCTCTATCGAACGGTCCTATTAAGGCAATTAGATGTATTGGATGTTAAGAATTAGAGTTCAGAATATGTCGTGTTTCAGAGGTAGAGAGGAGGTTACAGGGAGAGAGAATAAATAGGGAAGTAGTTTTTTTAAGAATTTGGCTATATAATACTAATATTTGGGGCTGCCTTTTGCCAAATGTAATCTAAGGCTAAACATTTTCCAATTCATGTTACATGTTGTCACATGGTGTCAATTCAATCTACTAAAAAAAAGGCCCAAATGTCATTTTGGGCTCAAATATTTTCAATTAATGTTGTATCCGTTATTTTTGTAATATAGACACCGAGTTTTCACACACTCTCTCTCTCTCTCTATATATATATATGCGATTTTTTGCTAAATTGAACTAAAATTGCTGAAATTGACGACAAAATAAGAAACATTTGCGGTTATTTTCTTCTGATTCCAGGTAATTAGGAGTAGAAAATCTCTTATTTTGTATATTTTTTCGTGCGTGTATTTTTGGAGAAGCGATGTTGCTTTTTTTTTTAGGCTTTTGCGACCGAATTGTTTAGTTAGAGTTCATCGTATGTATCTGTTATAGACGATTTTGTTAGTTTTGGTCGAGTTTGTCTCAATTTCTTCACAAAATTTTGCAATTGTTTGTTCGTATAATTTTTTAAAATCTTTTTTCTCATTGAACCTAGTTTCAATTGTGAAACAGAGCAATATGACAAGACAAACTCGTTCGATGAGTTCATCACCTTATTCAAAGTCGGTTTCAATTGAATAATCGAGCAACATGAGAAGAGAGACTAGGTCGATGAGTTTATCACCTCATTCAACCCCGATTTTAGTTGAAAAATCGATTGATGAACGAAATATGGGAAGACAAAATCGTTCCAACAGTGTTAAAGTGTTAGAATCTCGAAAGGATGTTGTTGGACAATCTGAGAAAAAGAAGAGCAAAAGGGTTAGAGTGGATAATGTTGAAGGTAAGAGAAAACGTGTCGTGGAAGAAGAAGTGAATTTGGATGTCAAATAAAAAAAAAGTAAGGTTCAGAAGGCAGAAAAAGTTAAAATTCCTGACAAAGTTTGTAAGGTACATACAATTTCAGTTATATTTTTTTCTATTGTTGAATCTTCTTTTAAAATTGGATTTAGTTTGTATTTGTTTGTTTTAAATTCGTGTCATTTATTTGTAGCCTTGGAAGCTTTATATTCCAGTTGGTGAGCCTTTTCCTGATACTCATTGGACATCATACACTAATGTGGACATCGTATCAGTTTTACAGTCATAGTTGACTGATGTCCAGTTTCGGATGTTTAGGGAAAGCTATTTTGGCTATTTCCTTAATTTACCTCGAGTTGCTATCCATGTAGAACTTATTCGTTCTTTAATGTTTAGGGAGTTGGTTCAAGATAAGTGTGATCAATTTTATATGAAATTGAATGACGAGTGTGTTTTACATTTTGGTCTTCGGGAATTTAGTGTTATAAGTGGTTTAAACTTTGTGGCAATGAATATGTTGAGGGTAACTTCAGTGGACCCAATATGTTGGTGGATACTTATTTTCCTGATTTTGAAGCGGTGTCAAAGAAGTCACTTATTGATTGTTTTGAGAAGAAAAAATGGCAGTCTGATGAAGACGCAATTAAGATTGTAATCATTTATTTCATAAACACATTTTTAATGTCCACTCAGGCTCAGAAGACATTTATAAGTAAACGCAATTTCCATCTTGTCGAGCGTGGTGAGTATGTGTCCTTTCTTTGGGGTAAGATTGTGTTTCGAGCTTTAATGAAGTTGGTGAGGGACAGGTTGAGGGGAAAGTCTGAGTTTTATAGGATTGGTGGATTTCCTCTTGCACTACATGTGTGGTTCTATGAATGTTGCACTGTAGTTGATCAAAAGTTTGATGTTCGCGTTGGAGATCATACACCACGCATATTAAATTAGGAAATGACAAACAGGCCAACACGCGAGGACTTCTCTACTGGTTTCTTCAACAATACAAGGAATAAGGTACTAGCTTTTATGTATTGATGGGTTATACATATATGATATACTGTAATTTATTGTGATACATCAAATATACAGTTTTTATACATCTTTGATACATCTAGGACTGAAGCACTTTTTGTTACATTTGCAGTTTAAAAATATTTCTCCTACAACTGAAGAGCTAAGGAGATTTACTTTGCTTGTTGAAGTTAACGATGAGTATCGAAAATATTTGACATCACGTAACATGGGAAAACTTCCTAGCGATGATAGTGATGATTTTGTCACGCCACCCCCGAAACAGATTAAGGAGCCTGTCCCACCAAAAAAGGTGCGGGGTGTCCAATTTGTTGATTATGACTATGAGTTGCAGAAGTTGAAAGTTGATGTTAAACATGTTTGTATTGGTTTTTTATATATATATTTTTTGAAAGTTTTGTTAAAAATGTATACCCAATGTCTATTATTTTTCTTATTTGTTTCCTTTTGTAGCTCCATAAGCAGTTAAAGTCCTTCATGGAATATGTCTTTGATAAATTCAAGGAAGTCTTTGAGTTGATAAATTTCAAGGTATGTGTTTCGTTTCCATTGTGCATTTCCTTTTATTTTTTTAGTTAACTTATTGTATCCTTTTTTTAAAAATAGTTTGGTACAAGCAAAGACAAATATGGTGCACATCTAGAGGAAGACACCGGTAGTCGTCAAGACAATAAAGATTTTGCGAGCAATATGGAATTTGGTGGCAATGAAGATTTTGACATGGATGGTTGTAAGATGTGTTTAGTTGTGCATTCTGCACTTTCCTTTTTTCTTTTCTTTGTTATTTTTGATAATTCGATTATTTTTTTAAAAAATAGGTCAGTGGAAGTGAAGGCAAAGATGTTCCACATTCTCAAGGAGATACCAGTGCGCATCATCGTAACAACATTATGCTCGATGCAACATATCAGTTAGGTGCCAATATCATGAAAGAACCTTCTGGTGTGAAAGTTAACATATTTGTTGCTGAAGTAACTTTCACACCAGATGTAGCGCATGATGGCACTATTGGTGAGACTGCAGAGGAGGCGGCAGGGGAGATGGAGGCAGAATCTGAGAAAGAAAAGGTTCCTGAATCTCAGACTGGCACTGTTTGTGTGACTGCAAGTGTTGATGAGGCGACCGGGGAGAGGAACAATCTGAGAAAGAGGTTCCTGAATCTCAGTGTCACGAACCAAAATTCACTAGTCGTGATGGCACCTAACCCAATCCACTAGGTAAGCCAACTAATAACTATCCAATTTCAATAATATTTAACAGGACAGTTAATCAAAAGAAATTATCTGAATCTTATACATTTTCCAAGGACTGGTAGTACAAATCATGGGCTTCTAAGAATAAAGTTTACACAGCTGAAAGGAAATAAATATATAGTCTGTTTGAATAGTACATAAATAGGGTTTTATAGATCTAAGGCTACCACAAATAAGAGACAGCTACAACCAGGACACAGATACATCTTCAATCCATGTCCCATCAAAGACAACAATATCAACAACCAACATATGCACGCAAGGTGCAGAAGTGTAGTATGAGTATAACCGACCCCATTTACTCAATAAGTAACAAACCTAACCTTAGGTTGAAGGTAGTGACGAGCTAACAAAAAGGGGTCGGGTCCAATACTAATATTCCACAACAGTTCATAACAACATAGTACAAGTAACAAATGGGTATCTCAGAAATAAAAGAGCTCAGTTCGTTCTAAGTTCCAGAAAAATAGGCATTTCTTTTCAAGTATATCAGTAAAAAATCCAAATCTTTTACCGAAAAAGCCAAAATACGAGTAAGTTTGAAAACTGTGATTTTTCCCAAAAATCCTTTCAACAATAAATAAGGTGTTCCATATTTCCTTTCATATAGCTAGTGTAAGATGCCTATCTGTGCCCATATGTAAAAATGTATGAGAAGTCATAAATGACGTGATACTATACAGCAGGAGGAAAATGCATCTTTATGCCTGCATGTCATGTGTGCATGCCAATGCCATGTATCTCAGAGATGAATCATGTACTCACACTCTGAGAGTACTCAATCTCACTGTTTCACACTTTTCACTCATCATGCTTAACCACTCGGTACTGTATATGGTCCTTACGGCCCAGGGAAGATCCATCGGGTAATATATACATCACTGACTATCAGTCACTCAGTACCGAGGAAGGCCAATCCGGCCCCATGGAGAAGATCCACCCCACCGAGGAAGGCCAATCCGGCTCCATGCTTCGGACAAGATCCATGTCTAGGGAAGATCCATACTTCAATATAATCAACCGCGCTCACTGTGGAGTGTGCAGACTCCGGATGGGCTCCTACAA